CAGAATCTTGCTCTGTGGCCACAGCTATGGGACTTCTGACATCTGGGACAAACTTGATGTACTCGTCTCCTCAAGGTCATGGTTTACAGCAAGCTCTCTACGAGTCTACTTTATAACAACAATAAATTTAATGTTGTACTGCATAAATACTTAGCACGACCAGAATTCTAACACAATTATGACAATATTGAAACTGGCGTGCAGAGTGAACTCGATACCGCTCTGGAAAGTATTTTGAAGACTGTACTCAGTGTACTACTAGAGCATAAACCTAATCATTATCGCTGCAAGCAATTTCCATGAATAAACTGCAATTCACTTTTATTGATTTCATTTATTTAATGACCCTACTTTGGAATCATGCTGTGAGCCAACAAATGTTGTAATTTGTAGAACGTGACTGTAAAAATGGCGTGTACGTGCTCTTGCAGAAATACATTATTATTATTCCCTACACAGTAGCTCCACATTTTCCAATGGTACAGAACAGACGTCATGGCTAAGCGCACTGGATTGTACTCCTGCACATCTCCGGAAATCTAACATATCCTGAGTGTCATGGATAATTAACTATTTGGAAACCTCAATTCGTCATAGCTTGTGTACAACCAGAAGCCACTTGGAAGAAGCATACAATATTCACTGCATAAAACATGGCACTACTGATTTGAACTATACATTTTCATAATACTCTGTGTGGTTTGTATGATATTTGCGTCGCTACACATTCTTGCCGCTCATTCAAATCGGAGGCTCCCCAGTTAAACATTATTTTTGTAGTAGCTGGTTTCACAGACATTGTGATACTGCAGCACACATGTAGTTCCATGGTTTACGATAGACTCCTTTTTCTGTGGTCTTGGTATTTATGCTTACAGTAAATAAAAAATAGATCAACGAAGCTAGCAAAATAGATGCGCAAGACCACTTTGTAAGAAATCGTATCAATTCCCACCAGTATATGCAGATCGTAAACGCAGGCTCAGTCAAGTATGCGGCCATTATGGCCGAAACCAGAGCTCAAACACCAATGAAATCGCAGAATGTTTGCAACGCCCCAGCATCTGCTAACAATAAAAAGTAGTGGGAAAGTGAAGGAAACGAAAGGAGCAAAAGCATAGGTCCTCCTAAAAATTCCGGTACTCGGGAAAGTCATCGGGATGCGGTCACTTTCGATCGATAATCCTAAGACAGTGCACGGAAGCTCTTAACACATTAGCATATGATCTGTTCAGGCAATAACTAGATTCAAATCAACTCCCAAAATGGAAGCAGGTTACTCTCTACAATCTTCAAAGGGGAAGATTGAAAAGATTCGATTTGTTACAGAACAGTCACACTACTTCTGGAGCGGTCAAAAGGTAATGGAATAACTGGTCAGTGAACAAATGAGGCAACAAACTAAAAAAAACCTTCGTGGAGCCGAACACGAATTCAGGAAAAGCAGGTCATATGCATCCAATCTCCTCATAGTAAGAGAAAGCTGGACGACCTGATGGACAATATGATACCGGTAAGCGCAATGTTCCTCAATTTAACAGAAGTCTTTAACACAGTGCTACATGTACTTCTGAAAGAGAAGGTTGAAAAAATGGGTTTCATTAACCCACTTCGATTTTCGTTCCGAAACTACCTGGATGTTTCGTATCGAGGTAAGTAGATTGCACTCGAGTTGTATGGTCTCAATAATGGCAAATTCAAAGGGGATAATCTTAAGTTCATTTATATTTTTGACAACCAGTTAGATAGAGTTAGCTTAGCGGGATTGATCTTCGCAGACAACGCAAAAATCTGGAGGTCCATAAAAAGCGACAATTCATCTGAGTTTCACAAAAAACTTACGACTATAAATGAATGGGTAGTAGACAATGAGTTAACTTGACTCAGTGAAATTTCATATCATAGATATTGTGCCTTGATTGACACAAAACACTAACACCTGCCATGAAGATCCGTTCCAGATTGTATCTTCAGAGCGTGCTGTAAGTCTTATGGCCACAAACAGCTCAGAAATTGACTGAAACTATATCGGGGACGCCGTCGAGACAAACATAACTCTCCACCTTATGCCAATAAAATTTGGTGTAATCACCTCAGAGTTGTTTATAACTTTGTTTCTAACGTACGCACAGCCCCAACTGGAGGTCCATAAAGTTGCTGCAACCTCTATATTCAAATGATCCACTAATCCGTTATATCAAGTACAAAGACGGTCAATCGAGGTGGTAAACATAAAGCAGGAATTTCATTAGGACAAATTCGAGCACCTGGGATCATTCTCCTTGTGTTACAGGAAAATAAGCGGCGATCCCGTAGTGGCATACATTATATTAGGTATGTCAAGCCACTTCAGAATAACATCATCACGTTGCACAAGGCAACCTTCGGAGGATAACACATCCGAAAGCGGACATTGACATATGCTCTTGTTCTTACTCATTAGGAGTTCACTACATCTGAAATGCTCTCACAGACGAAGTGACGTAGACCCATCAGTGGAAAGCTTTACGAGGAGAATGGACAAATACGCATTCACCTATAAATTACCATTTTCTCGGACCAGCTGTGTCGGATACATGTCTCATAACTTATCAGTGTCGTTGTCACATATTATTATTTCATTCCCATTTCGCTTACTATCATTTCCGCTTTTCCTCGTCTCCATTCACTCACACATTTTCAGTTAGTTCACTTATTCATTCTTGGAAGTATCATCTCATAGCACTCAAATTATTGCTCTATTATTTTCACATTTCACTCAACCTACTGCTTAACAATGTGATAGCTGCAGAATTCCCAATACATTGAGACAAATGGATTCAGTCAACCTACAAGATCTGCAAACCCACAAGAAAACACCCTACGGATTAGGATGAGTGAAGCCAGGTGTTCAAACTACCATTTATTTAAAATTGACCGTAATGAAACATCAAGAAGCGAGCACAAAAAACAAATCGGTTCATACAAGATCGTGTGAACGATATTGGATATTGGATGTACGAATAACACATAGATTTGGCGGAAAAACAAACTTCGGATTCATTACCGCGTTGAACCATAAGAATGTATATGCACAAAAAAAGACAACAGACAAACATTCTTGACGAAAACAAATTCATAAATATAAGAAGCATCTCCGAAAAACATGCTAAAGTTAACCTTCTAGGTGTAATTATCCAGAAACAGTCTGTTAAACGATGCAATACTAATTTCTCGGGTTCGAATAATCAAGCTGTATTAGGATTCACTCTTAGAGACAGTACATACGATTGGATCAACGGAAGCTACTGGGGTACATTTTCGAGTGTCAATTCTGTGGCATCTCAATTCAACATTGGTTAGTATGCGAATTCCGATCATTTTCCCCGAAAGGCGATTGCGTAATTGTGCTTAATGCCAAATTAAAGTTCAAAGAAAGAAACTCTTATGAAGAACGTTTTATGGTCCAAACACCCTCAAATTATCATCTGCTTTTGAGGGATAGGAGTGGAAGCATTACACAATATGCACTTACTGACCAATTATACATAAGCCGCCTAAAAGTTAGTGATTTCTTAATAAAACAAAAATCGACATTCACGAGTTATCGAATCTACTTTTGGTTAAGAGTAAAAACTACGTGAAGTTTATGTCGATGAAAAATCTTAACGGTATTCAGTACCCGTACGTTAGGATAGCGTAATATGTTTTACAAAATAACTATCATTTGTCAAAAGGTTCAAATTTTGATCACTGTTAACCATAAAAAGTTTAAAACAGACACATATTAGTGAAAGATTTTAAGTTACTAGACCGTTGTCGCGATCTTCTTAGTTTCATTTCGGAAATGGATGATCTTTACGGTAGAGAAATGTCAAATTTTACAACTTTTGAACAGTCAAATCTATAAAAAACAAAATTTCTCAAAGAAAAAGACTATATATCACTAATTATTTTATGGAAACAACGCATTTTACTGGATTTTGACCGGTTTTGCGAAGAATTTTGTTTTGTTAGGATGATTTTGACAAATTTCAACGACATGTGTTGTTAAGCCATCAAATGTCTAACATGGTAGTTAATCAACATCTACATAATTTTGGTCACGAAATAAGATGATATCAACCGTGACAGACGAAATATATTTTCAAGAAGACAATGTGTTAAATGTGTGATGACTGGTGTGACTGAAGGTGGATTTGCATGCGATGAGCTTGACGTAGATCAAATGTGCGTTTAATTTTTAGCATTGAACTGCTTTGCTTTGCTAGGGTTGGTAGAATGTAGTTTATCGTAATATTGCTTTTTACTAAGGAGCAGTTGTCACTTATTTGTACTTCTCCTCATCCATTATTTTCATATCTTATAAAAAATCCAAATTTTCATTATCTAGAATAACATATTGGTTTGATGTTTGACTAATTGAATATATTTCATACAATAGCTATCCAACATAATACAGTTAATAATCAAAACTTGGTTTGATGATCAGATGCCCGATGAACTTAACGGGATCTCTTTTGTTGTCAGTTAAATCTCCTAGGAAGCACTGAACTAGTAGCAGACAAAGTAACTATAAGTTAATAATTTGCAATCAGCGCAATGATTTCTGCATTTCAGAATATGAAACAAACAACACACAATTATTAGTGTTTTTTCAGAATGTGATTGTATATTGCATTTAATAAAATTTATTTTATCCAACATCAAAACCATGTAAACCGTTTTTAATCTATTAACTCATGTCATAAAAGTCATCTTTAGTATGCTCAGCGGCTTACCACAGATCTTTGCATCAAGTAATACAGACGATCTACTCCAAAAGATTGTCAAACAACCAAAACCACTTCAACTGGAAAATATATGATCCTTCTTTGGAGTTTACATTCTTTGCAGTTGTTTCAGAAGTAAAGCACCCAAAAACTTTAATAATATCTCAAAAAAAACTAAAGTGTGAAGGAGACGAGGAATTAGCAATGCAAAACGCGAGCACAACCAACAAATCCAAGTCAGTTCAGTCGATGGAAGCAGTTCAAACGGTACTTCAGCTATGTGAAGTCATGCTTTTTGATGACTCATGTAACTGTCTTCCGCTAATCTTTTGGAATGAAGACTGGATTCACATTGCATTAACAGCTTTTATACCATATGTAAGCCTTTAGCCATCTTAATGATATTTTTTACAAAATGAATTAATATCATGATGACAGAATCTGGAGGATAGTGCTAGCTATATGACGGTCTATTAACCTATAAGAACTCCTTTGGTATATCACATAAGTACATTGGAAATTTTCGGTTGTTAACACTAGTTAGTTGGAATCGAATATGACAGTCTTTTTAGGTGAAAACTTGATAAGAACAAAAAATCTGCAAGAGCCTTTAGAATAATTACTTTGGACTTACTGTAATATTTTTCTCACCTTATATAAGATGAAACCTTGCATTATTTACAAAGTCTGTTGATAACTGAGCAACAAATTAAACGTAACAAGAACTGTCTTGTTATTTGTTGTCTTCCTTACTATTTATAATTTTTTCTTTTCTCGATGGCAATTTAACTAAACGTAATTGGTCACATATAACTGCTTTAAATATAAGTCAAACAATCAGTTAAAACCTACTTTTAGTTAACCTAAAGACGGGAATAAAACATGAAAAATGTGCTTTATTACTTGCCATTAAACTGTGGATATTTTTAAGCAGTAGCATTGCTGGTTAAATCTTTGTACTCATGATTGGAACGCATCATAAGCAAATTTGGAGAAGTCAGTCCACATTCATTTATGTTCGACAATTTGGTAAATGTGCGAAGAATTTTTCACTTGCGAAAAAAAGAAAAAGCATTTTGTGTGAAACAGTAAAACTCAGCGTTTTTGAGCATAAATAAAAGGATATTTATTGAAGCTACATGCAAATATCACTTGCAGGTCAGATGTTTTAATGGTTATAGCTTTAGAAATTTACAGGAAATTTTTTTACTAAATCAGATAGTTTTTAAGCACCATTTCGGCGGTAGTTATTAGTTATCTATTTAAAACCATTGAGTCTTATGAACAAGTCCGAGATCTTACTTAATAAACAAATCTACCGGCTATAAAACGTATATAAAACAAAAAGACCTGAGTTAGTACATCTCAAGTCTTCATATGCACATATGCTGAAGTTGATAAGCCTATTTAAATAAATTGTACTTGAGATACTGACCTGATTATGAGGATTTAGGTGTCAAAGCCACGTGATCAATATGTCATTTGATCATAACCCATAAGTCTTGGTACATGTGCTTCAAAATTAATAATTTCTTCCAAATCTTATTGTGTTCTATAAAGTGTGAGCTTAAAGCTGTCCAATGTTTGGTATTAAAACATAACGTTTTTACTCAAATCTTATTTCAGTCTACCGTTTTATCGATTGTAAACTGTCCAGTTCGTTATGATCGTTACCGCAAAGGTGTGGTTGCCTCACCAAACTCAAAAACTTTAATTATTATCTCACCTGACTGTGCAGAGGCCAATCGTTTAAGTCAACACTCCAAACATCGGACTCAAAGCATAAATATTTTGGAAAGCGGTCACACTTCATTCACTGTTGAGAATCTGGATGACAGACTATTACAACCTTTACCAATAGGGTATAAAACGGCTCAACCGGAGGTCAGAAATTTGAAAAGTAGTCTTTAAAATATCGTGTATTATTACAATGTTTTGAAGTTTATAATTAACTTTGTGATTGAGTAAATTGAATGACAACTAATTCGTAAACTGTAACTTGTCTATTTAAGGTGTAGTTCCAAGTGTCTGTATTGATGTAAGAGCTGAAAATTAATTGCTAAAAGTATTCCTGTGAACAATAACGATATGTGTTGACAGTGAGAAAATGACCGTTTTCCTCATCCTTCATGTTTGCTCTTTATCAATAGTGTGATGTGTTCGAAATTCTTACGTTAAAGCCTACGGCATACTAAATTAGTCAGAAAGAAGAACAATATCCAAAACGTGCTTCCTGGCACTAATTAGGTGGTTTTGTTATATTTTAAAAAAGATTGAATTTAGAGTTCGCTTATTTGATAACACGCAATGATATAACTAGATAATGCTCAAAATAGATCACTGTACTAGATTTGGAACAGTAGACCACGATTTGAGATAACACGTTTGATACTCGATTAATATACTAGAAATATAGACCATCAGCTTTGATTATGTAATAAAAAGACAAGAAATATCAGACGAATGACTGAAAGGCAGATTTAAGAAACATGATATTTTGTTTACTCAAAATATAAGTAGTTGCACAGTAATCTGAGTAGAAACCACCAGTGTATCAGAGTTGGAATAAAAAATAGTCAGTTACGTCCACAGTTATGATAGAGTATGTCTGTCTTCACCTAGTAACCATGTTCTATCAACATTAGTTTTCACAGATAAAAATGAATCCATTTTTGCATTAATTTAGTAAAGGTAGACTGTACTTTGAAGAACTGTATCTCAATGACTGATCACAGATAAGTTAGTAATTAATTTATATGTTTCGACGCCTTAGCGTATTTTCTACTGGAGGTCAAAAGTGGAGGAGTTGATTGTTTCTGTACATATTCTAAAACCTGCAAAATTTCTTACACCACAACCAAACTTTATCTTTTAAACTCCTAACGATATATAGTAATCTTCATACTGGTTTGCACTCGACCTTAATTGAATAATTAGATATCTATAATTGCATTAAACAAACATAGCTCGTTAATACAGTTTAAGTTAAATAGGTAATAAAGTAACAGGGTATTTGCACCAATATTTGATAAGTCATAAAAATAAATACTTCAGCAGGCATCATCAAGAAATGCTGACTCACCGATAAACACAGTAAAAGCCTCTTATGGTGTTGGATAGCATAAACGTCTCGCAATAAACCTTAATGTCTTTTGAATTCAAATTACATAATACAAGTCAACCTTATCCTGTATGAGAATTTGTTTTGAACTCGCCTACATAGATTTATGTTCCCAAGAGCCCATAAACCGGTAGTTACATTTTGATGTCTAAAATAGTTGAGGTTTTGGGTTTCTACCAGGAAACGTTTTTTGATTGCATCAATTTTATAATATGAAGCTCACCATGTATCCACTTTATAAACACTCTAGTACAGAATTGGTTTGTTAGAGAACAACGCTGAAAAAGTTGTATTTTAAAATTTACTAACATTTTAATGGGAATTCGGAACTTTTACCGCTTTCTACTACTAGAACAACATCTTAAAATTTCATTTAGCGCATCTATATGAACACTACAAAGGCTACTGGTATCATGATAACATGTTACCTACTTTTTCCAAAGTCACTTTTGAACCCGTTAATTTACCCCAAAATCGTGATAAAATACTAAATTTTCGGTTTGTCATTATTTAATACTAATAGATTTCCAAAAGATCATTAAATCTAATAAGGTAGAAAAAAATGACTTCAATATAACGTCTCAAAACAATTTCGTCATTTATTTTGGAAAGCATTAGTTTGGCAGAAATTTGAATGTACTATAAACAGTAATTATCTTCCCAATAAAAGTTTTCAAACAAAGCTTAATAACAATTTTTTTCAGGTTTACAAAGTCCCTCTGACAAGTATTCACAATATATTAACTGTTCGAGACCTTAAAGAAGGAAAAGGTAATAAACGCATTCACTTACACTATTAAAACCATAATTTTTTTATACTTAATAATCATTGGATATCGCTAACTTATTACTGTTAAATGTTGAACCCAAAGCTTGAATGTAAAACGTTTTTGCTAAGATATCTACGGTATAGGTATTTGTTTAATCCAACTATGTAAGTTCAAATGTGAAATTTATACTATAAATTCATAAAAAAACAAATAATAAACCAAACTACCTGAAGAGCACTGTGGAAAAACAGCTTTGTAGTGGTTATTTCTAAAGAGCATTAAACCCGATAAACAAAAGCATACAGAAGACCTGACAACGTTCGTGGAGAAATCTGCAAATGAAAGAAATATGAGACAACTACACAACACGACGAACAAATGGATAGAACATATAGAAGAACTGTCAAATATGCCAGCTCCATTGAATCCACTAGACATCGAAGAAGTACCTACAGACATTCCTGTTGATGTCACTCCACCAACGATCAGAGAAACTAGGATGGATATCAGACAAATCAAGAGCGGGAAAAGCAGCTAGACCTGACAATATACTAACTGAAGCATTGAAGTCAGATATAGAAGTAACTGCACAAATACTCCACGTTCTATTCAAAAAATATTTGGAAGGAGGAGGAACAAACGACGACAGACTGGGGAGAAGAATAACTCATTATGTTACCAAGGAAAGAAAATCTCAGAAACCGTGAGAACTACAGAGTTGTCACACTACTATTGATACTAGGAAATACTTTTAACAGAGTGTTGCTGAACCGAATGAACGGTTCAGTAGACGACTAGCTTTGAGATCAGCAAGACGGATTCTGTAAGGATCGGTCGTATACAGACCAAATTGCAACACTACAGATCATCATTGAACAGTCAATTGAATGGAACTCGTCACTATACATCAACTCCGTTGACTATGAGAAAGCATTTGACAGTGTGGACAGGATAACCCTATGGAACCTTCGTCGACATCATCCGTAATCCACACGAAGGACTACACTGAATGGAGGACAACTGGCAGACACATTCCGAGTGAGGATCGGAGTCGGACTAGGCTGCTTCCTCTCTCGCTTCCTCTTTCTAACAGTTCTAGACTGGATTGTGAAAACCTCCACATCTGAGGGAGCCACGAATACAATGGATAGCTTGATTGAAACTGTACGACTAGGACATGGCAAATGACATGGCTTTTATATTCCATACACACCAATAAGTGCGGATGAAGACAGCCGGTGTAGCAACAGTCTCAGCATCAGTAGATCTCAACACACACAAAGGCAAGAGCAAGATCCTCAACTACAACACGGAGAACACCAACTCAATTACACTTGATGGAGAAAGTCTGGAACAGTTGGGAACTTTCACGCACCTGGTCAGTATCGTCGATGAACAAAGGAGATTCGGATGCAGACGCAAAAGCAAGGATTGGCAAGGCTAGGGAAGCATTTCTACAGTCGAGAAACATAGCAAACTTAAAACAACTGTCAACGAACATCAAAGTTAGAACCGTCAATATGAACGTCAAGACGGTTCTGTTGTACGGATCTGAAAATTGGAGAACCATTACAACTATCATTAAAAAGGTACATGTATTTATAAACAGTTGTTTACGCAAGATACTCCATGTCCATTGGTCAGAGACCATCAGCAACAACCTATTTTGGAAGAGAACAAAACAGCTTCCAGACGAAGAGGAAATTAGAAAAAGACGTCGGAGGTGGAAAGGACATGTATTCTTTTAGTCATCAAACTGCACGACGAGACAAAAGCTGACTTGGAATCCTGAAGGGAGGAGAAGAGGAGAAAGACGAAGGAACACACTGCATCGAGAGTTGGAAGCGGACATAAAAAGGATGAGTAGTACCTGGAAAGGAGTTGAAATGATTGCCCAGGACAGAATTCTCTGGAGAATGCTGGTGGGCGACGTATGCTTTTACACTAGATGTTACAGGCTTAAGTAAATAAATAGTATAATTGGATGAAAAGTTCCAACAAGGGTTACTTACGGCAGACAATCATTTTACCATCTGAACAAACTTAGTATATATTTACTTCGCAAAAACATTAGGGATAAAATTGTTTGGAGTTGCAATATAGTGGAATTTTAGCCGTTTTAAATATCTTTGTCTATTACATCTGGTAAATACATTTTTCTTCCAAGATTAATAATTAACTCCTTACTCTTATACAAAAATAGTTTTAATAACTGATTCAAAACTAGTGAAATAATTATTATTATGCGTATAAACGAAAATGAAACTTTTTTTATCTCAGTAAGACAAGAGCACCTAATACAGCTCGATCATTTAAAATTATTTTCACGTTCACTCAAAAATGTTTTAAAATATTTTCTTAGTTGTCGCTGGATATGCTTGTACATTCGCCTTATTTACTAAAATCGATTTGGATTGTGAAAATTCACAATACCTCATAACACTGCAGTGCTCTAATTGTCATGGTCGTTTGAGGTCATGTGATCCGCCAGCAGACTATGATGTGGAAGCACCTGGAAAAAAATTTGACCCAAATGTTAAACACATGTTTGCAATGTGTACTACTCCGGGTTGTCCGACAAGTGGACAAAGACTGTCTTGGTTTGATAAACAACATGTAAATGTGAGTAGAATTTCTGTGATAATACTAAATTATTTACAGTTAATAAATAATTCTATTATTTTATTGCTTTGTTGAATAAAGATTCTATCAAATATGAAAGAGAAACCGAAGAAGTTATTCGGAACCCAAACAAAACAAGCCTTATGAATATTAATGAAAGATTTTGTCTCAAAAATCATCACAATTAGTTTAGCCGAGCTAAGCACTTTAGCTTCAGTCATGCAAAACTAATAATTTCTTAACATTTCACTTAATTTTTAGCATTTTCTCATAGAAGTCTTAAATTCGATCCCATTATAACTAAAGGTTTTAGGCTGTAGTTTTCTCTCACAGGGAAAATCGTACTCTGAGAAAAAATACAGTTATTGCTTTACTGGCTCTATTAAAACAATCATTTGGGTATTACTTTTTATTGCACAGACACTTGGAAAAAGTAATAAATAATAATAATTGTAGAATGATTTTAGTGTAGTAGAATACTTAACGCTAAGAAAAATCAAACAACACAGACAACTTTCTACAAACACGTTTCAAAAAGTACGAACTAGATGATCTGGCATAGACACAGTGGCATTCCGTATCATTATACGTAATCCAAAGCAAAACTCATACATGTTTGTTTAATAACACGTCAAATAGAATCTTTAGGAAAAGTTGTTGTACAAAATACCTACAAATGATGTTTTATTAATGATGCAGTTGGCTAAACATTTATTCGCTTGTTGAGTTTGGCAAAGTAGTTAAAAGTTAATGACGATAAGTGAAACTGAGATTAAAAGATGTAGTCATTTTTTCGACTCAACTGGATTCAGTAAACTATAAAAACATATCGACAGTATAAAAATAGGCACGTTATATGAAACATTTTAAATATCTCAATAGTTAAGATCATGAGTCAATTGAAGCTAGACCACCATGAGAGACCTGGGAACTCTGGACGGCCGTTTTGAACTGTTGTGGGACTCCTCAGCAGTGCGCATTCACGACTCCGCCCTGTGGGATTCAAACCCGGGACCTATCAGTTTCGCACGCGAGCGCCTAATCACTAGACCACTGAGCCGAAATCCAACGGTGTTAATGTCTAACTTCAACTAATCCCGCGAGGCGGGGTCGTAAATGTGCACTGCTGAAGAGTCCCACAATAGGACGAAACGGCCGTCCAGAGTTCCCAGGTTTCTCATGATGGTCTAGCTTCAATTGACTCATGATCTCAACTACTGAAATTACTACAACCTCCACGAAACCCCTTCTGATTTTGAATATTGTCAGAAAGCTAATCAAGCAATGTGTTCTTTTGATAAATCTACTGAGCAGATTTATAACGCAAAGAACACCAATATTGTCTAAACTGGAAGACTTGAAGCATTCGTTGTCTGCTGACAGAGTTGTCACAAATATTAAAACTGTGTGATAAAATTTATCCTGATAAGTGTCTGAAGTACAAGGGTATGCCTCAAGTAAGCATTCTTAAAGCATGAAAATTGGAATTAAATGTCTCTCAAGAATACAAAAGACTATATTAACACGAAACTAAAAATTTGATGGTTTTGTGTAGACTTTTCTACATCGTCCTACAATCAAGTGTTCAGGGATTCGATGATGAACATGCTTGATTAAAGACTCGATGTAGCTAGCTCCATATGAAACTATTAAAAATGAAAACCTACATAAAAAGGCAGGTTCAGTCAATATTTCTTTGCTTCAGGCTCCAATCAAAAGAACGGTTATTCGAATTTGGGCATTTAAGATTATTAACACAATACTAAGTCAATTATTATCAAACATGAACATTTTTCTGTCAACTCAAAATGTATGACTCGATCAAATTAACACATTTTAAATAGAACTGAATTCTTTTGAATACTTCGATGGCAATATTAGCAAAAAAGTTATTCTATTACCAATAATCAATATGGGTTTTGGGCTCAAATCTGTTTTTAGCTTACTACAAGGCTTACAAATACCAACTTTAAAATCAAGGGGAACGTTTCAAGCTCTCTGTTTAGTTTTTGGACTTCGTTATTTTGATTGTCCTTCCTATAATTTCCATATAGATTTCATCACATATGATGATACATAAATAATAATAGATAGGAATTATGCCTCATACAAAACTGTACAAATAAATCATTTTTCCCCAATGAATCTTGAAAATTCTCTATAGATGGAATACGGTACCTTTGTTCATCTATCAGACCATACAGGAACATATTCTAGATGTCTTTTAGCCAGTATTGCAATGGAAAAACTTTTAGGATGCAACGTCGAAGAATTTTTACATTTACCAATGAAAAAACGAGTTCGTTTGAAGTGGGAGTTCTGTCTAAGAAGATTTAAGGTTTGTTTACTACTTTTTTATGTGTTACAATATTCAGTTTGAAGTAGCTGAAATATTTGATTACAAAGGACTGTTTTGAATAATATACCATTCTTAATCTGGTATGGGAAGCCCAGTTCCCAGTTCTAATAGTTTCACTTATTTAATCCAATCGTATATCAATGTACTTATCTATTTATAGTATCACAAGCCATCAATATTTCTTGAGTACATTTTGAGTAAATATTCGATCTACTATAATTGCAGCAAATTTCTGACCGAACGCCCTGGACAGTAAATGTAATGTCATGAATTCTGAGTACAAATAACTGCTGTTACCTGATAAGTGGTTTACAACCACTATAAACTTATCAATCTTTTTCCATTTATTGAAAAATGCAGTCCTGGAGAAAAAGCCACGTCTCATTACTATTTAATACCACATCAAACTATACACGTAATATACATTGCTATTGTATAGATAATAGCTAACTCCTTTTGTGTATAATCGTTATAATGTTTGAAATAAACCGTACATTTCAATGTTAAGCAAAAACAATTTGGATGAAAAACAATATTTTTATAAGAGTGATGTCATCCTATTATTAACTTATTGACTAGTTGCTCGAGTTTGCAGTTTGTGAAATACTCCAGAACCTTATTCAAGCATCATAATAATTACATTAATGAGAAATATATGTTGTTCAAATTCTCTTTCCACAAAATCAGTCTAATTTACGTTTTATTTTTAGATTGACCAAATTAAATTTATTTATTTGGGTAAATAATTAATAACAAATAAAAATGACAACAATTGAACCAATTTATGCTAAAACTTATTACTTTTATTCTTCAGGTTTATTTTTGGACTGAACAGATTAGTTATAATAATCCATCACCTTTAATCGTTATTATAGGCGTTGAAAAACCTAATGCTTTTGAAGTAATGCATTCATTGAAATTAAACAGATAATATTATTTGTTAAAGAGATTCATCTATCAAAGATCTTAGACATTTCGTTGAATAACGTTTTGCTACTGAATTTTTACAAGCCTTGTTCGTTGTTTCTACGAAATTGCTTTCTAAAGAAGAATTGTTTACACTTTCCAATAATAAAATGCATAATTGAAATGAATTACTTTTATGTTTTGGTGTAGAATAGGTAAAAAAAATGACAGTAATTACAATGTGTATCAACAAATGTTATTCAGAACTTCGATTGTTTAGTACATGAGCAAAATAATGTTGAATGCGTTTCGAAGCCAATAATAAAATTAAACAATCTATAAGAATGGTGTTTTAATATGAATGATGAACCTAGGTATATTGTACTCGGTGAACTACTTATTATTCCCAATGTGCGTAATCGATTAAATTGATATACATTGATTCATTTATTCCGACTTTGCTAACCTTGTATGAAGATAAACTATTACAGGACAAAATATCTTTACAAGCTATTCAGATATTTATAATTTGCTTTGGCATCATTTCCTTTATAAGAATCCGGACAATTGAACATTCTTCCTAAAAGAATTCACGTATTAACGACTATAAATTAGTATTTTACAAAATCGGTCGTTTCATGGTAAATCGTACTTTGAAAGGAAACATCATGTACCTTGATGACAAAAGAACTTTAATTCCAAAATTTCCTTCGTTTTATAGTGGGCAGGATTGGTTTCATAAAGGAGTTTAGCTTACTGAAGAGCTTTGCAAAGACCAGAAATCTATTTTTTATTTCTAACCGTTGTATGGTAAGCAGTCCAAATTATTCCATAATCTTCAAAAGACTTGTTTAAAACGGAGTTATGTCTGCAGACTATTTAATGTGGAGACTGGGGACCAATTTTACTGAGAACAACACAGAAAAAGAATGCTTTATGAACGCTGTCGCGCAAAACACTACTAGGCTGATTTGGTGAACCATTACTAATCGATTGTTACCAACCATTTGTGTGAATTATTTTTTGGTTTACTTAAATTTAATGAGACATTTATATAACAACTCAACCTTTCAATAAATAATATATTTTAAACAATCGAATACAGGCAACGAAAATAAATGATACAATATTATAATTTACTAAAACATATCTATGAAGCAGACTGATTAATAGAGAAAAAATACATTTTAGGTATCAACGGGTTTCAGCTCTGGTTTTCGAAAATGACGCATGTGTGAACTAGGATCATTAGGTCGGAATGGTGCATGAGCTCCATATGGTATCAAAACTGAGTTTGTTTTTGGACTTGACATTTGATCTTCTGAACTATCGTGATTGGGGGCTGTATTTGGTGGGTTTTCATAGGATTTGTTTGATACATTACGATGAATTAGGTAAGCATTAGGTCTTTCCGGAGCTGTAGTCCAGTAGTCATCTAGTTCTAAAGCCTAAAACAAGAAAAATGGTGTTGAAAAAGATGAAGTTTTTGAATTTGAATTACACTCTCAACTGGAGGAACTTTGAGTTAGTCAATTTTATCTCTTACGCTGAATAAAAGAAAAGTGATATTTGTATTCATTCGATGTAGTTCCCCTACTTAATAAAATCATTTAACTGAATGAGTTAAAAACTTGTTTTATAAGTCAGCAATAAATATTTCTGAGTACTGGATGGAGAAAAGAAAAGAATTTTCATCTGGATATAAAGTGCCTATCTTGCATTTTTCCGGAGAAACTCAAATAATTCCTTCTAGATGTTTAAGTATATTTATTGTCTCAAAATATTTCATGATTTTTTTTGGAACTTAACGTTTGTTCTGTGCAAAGATAGGAGGCTTAACAATTTATTCTGTACGAATATCAACTACCTACAGCCTTTTAGTAACTGCATATGTTTATTCGTGAATAAATTAGTTGACCTTGAAGATGTAAATAACATAAGCATCCTTATTTTAACTCAGCTTATTGCCGTACATCGATATGCAGATTCCATACGTCATCAAGATTTACTTACAGTCTAGTGAATTACTGTTCCCTACTAACTTAAACTTGTGTTTGAGAAGTAATAATAGATTTAATATCTACTTATGAAGTTAATTTCGTAATAATTGAATGACCTGCTAATTTCTAAACATTGATACGATCATTTAGACATTTATTACGTCATAAAATTATGAGTACATCTTAATTGAATTATTTTTACAAAAATCAGACATTTATTTACAGCTGTATAAATGTAAACACTGACATATTTAGATATAAACATTTGAAGGCTTTTATGACTTGATTTACAAACGTCACAAAATTATTAACCATTTACGTTTTAAAATTAAAACATACCTTAGAAATTCTTGCTCTATCTGATTTCCACTGAATTACCCTATTATATTTTTCTAATTCTTCAATTACATCATCTGTAGGAGGATTCCCGGCCTCCATGCGTTGATAACACTCTTTAAGAAAAGTTCGACGTTCCTTTAAATAAAAAACAGCATTCAGTAATGATGAAAAATTAGTTGTGAAGCTTTAGTTCCTAACTAAATATTAAAATAACGAAAATAAATTAGGCTAAATGTGATAAACGTCTTAACTAGTTTAAAAAACCTTTGGACAGATTTCAGACCCTGAAAACTGAATAAATATTGTTGCAGAATAGATGTGTTACATATTAAAGCAAGGGTGAACTAAACCTGGATAACACAGCCTTATATAAATGTTACTATGGACAACGATTGCCACTTGTTAAAGCTAAATAACGTCTTGTACTTATTGCTACCGTTTGCTATTATTAAAATATTACTGAAATGTAAATTTGGTATATCAAGATATGACTTACATGGACTAAAATTTGCCTTGGATGACAGCATAAAAGTATGAAACGACTGACATAAATGAAACTTACTTTATTTCAAATCAAAACAAAGTATTTGAGTGATTACTGTCCTGTAAACATAAGTCCTTTCAAATAAATTGGTAATTATAAACTCAAAACATACCAAAGGCTGTATGTTTGTAATTAAGCAACAGTTCACGGATTTGCTCATGCAGAACCATGTATATTGGGTTACTCATTTAACAATCCAAACAATCAGTTTCACGAGCTATGTGGTGGTTAATATATACTGTAAGGCAATTCAAAGTGAATACAGTCCAGAAAAAATGGTGATACTGTGGTGTGTGCTACTTATACGGGCAGATATAAATAGTATGCATCGGAAATTAGAAGTCGGATTCTTACGGACGAAGGAGGAAAATGGGGAAAGGAGAAAGAAAAATAAAACCAGTTGTGGTATAAACGGGGACGAAAGAACAATGGAGTTTGCTAATGATGATACAAGGAAGTTTTGCAAATGGTGTATTCAGTATATTGTTTTCATAATTAAATAACACTCCAAACGTTCAGTCAGTAGTTAGTCAGTTGAAGTTCAAAAGCAAATAACAATAATGCAGTTTTCCAAGATGATGTCTAGCCAAAAGACGACTGTGAGATTATGAAGAACTTTTCAAAATATCGTCCAGAGGATGCACGGTAGCTAATACTATGCAACCACTTTTGTGATTATTTACATATTTAATAAAGTCAACTAACTGCTCTGCTGTCAGCAGACAACAAGACAAGAACTTCATATAAATAGCTACTATTTGTTATCGTGTAAATTGGAACAAATCACATTAGAAAGATTTTCAGTTTATTATCTGTAATTAGCTTTTCATGAAGTGACTAGTTGTTCTTACATTAAATCAAATCGTCACCGGATAATATTAAAAAAAAAATAAACAGTGTATTTAAGTTACCTTTACTTGTTGTTCAAGTTCAAATGCTGTAGTCATTAACATAGTTAATTCAGCTGTTGTTGCTTTTAAACGTTTTGTAGTTTGAACAGTTGTACCTTTCTGTTCATTCGTTTTAACAGCCAATGATAGTGCTACATCTCTAAAAATAATTAAACTTCACCTTAGATAGTTTACCACTAATTAATATATAGAACAACATATATAAGCGAACAATATTGTTTTCGATTAGATCCTCACGAGGCTCTACTCTAATATACAGTAATATTTATATGCATATACGAAATCATACTATCAATTTGTACTTTTCACTTATTATGTTTATTTATGTAATCTTTTTCATTGTTATCATTGACTTATAAACTGCCTTGATTGGTTTAATAATTTTGTATATGCATATAAATATTACTATATATTGGAGTAAAGCATGATAAGGATCTAATCGAAAACAATATTGTCGGCTTATAAATATTGTTCTAAATTACAATATGGGAATTTTTCAATTAATATATGACTGTCAAATAAATAATGTGGCCTAAAATGGTTTGATTTTTCTCTGCCCAAAAAGATACATATTAAAAATCATTTGTAAGATTTTCAAATACCTAATTAACTGAAAGACCAACTTAGTGACCGAAAAATTTAAACAGTCATTCTGAGGACGACGTTGAGTAACTGAGAATAAGTGATGTAGGCCTACCTGCCATACTGAAGGCTTACTGGGATTATAAAGTCGGGCTAGCTCGTAGCATTAACACCACTGGCACGTTACTTCAAAATTCAATGTATATTGTTTAAGTAGTTCTTTAGAAACTGTACCGCTGATTTATTTATTTAGTGAGGTAGTCGATGATTAACACACACACTCACATAAAAATTCAAGGTTAATAAGCGAATAATTGACAAGATCAAAATGTGACTCATGAAAAATGAATAAATTGGTCTGTCTAAAAGCTAGAATAACCCAGCCACTACAGGCGGAAGCTAGTTAACAAAGTGAAGCGTTCCTAGTTGAGACGAACAGTTGTAAATGGTGAAATGTTTCTACACTGAACCGTTGAAAATCGGGTTCATTAATGTTGATGTAACTCTTTCATTTTGGATTTTTAACACCGAATTACATAGCACCCTTTTTCTCCTCAATTTAATCTGTTCATACATGTCATTTGTTTGTATTCTTTAAGAGTGTCCGTATTACGATAAACATTTCTTTGATTTTTATTCTGTTGCTTTT